CCTGAAAGTTGCAACATTTAATAATTTAGAGCAAGAAGAGGAGATGAAGATGGCATACTTCTAGAGGACTCAGATTGCACCCTGGAGCTGGATGCTGATGCACACTGGTAACCCATGTGAACTCCATACTTGGCTGCTCTGAGTTAAAGGCCAGAGGCATTCTACACCCTCAAGTACTTTAAGATACTTGTCGATACTTAAACGTGAATTAAATGCTTTAGGTTCCCATTAAGATGAATATTTTTCCCTACAGCCTGTTTTGCACAGCAGGAATTGCCAGGGCTTAAGGAAAAACCAGACATTTTTAATGCTGGTTTTTCCCTTCTCATTTAAGATGGTATTTTGTTTATTCTGTATCTGGACCAATATATCAAAACGACTCCCAGGTACACAATTCCTGTCACGTGCAAAACTTTACTAGCATGAAGCATGCTGGTCGTGTTTCAGGGAGTTTTCACGGTTGATTTTGTAAGTGGAGGCTTTAATATTGATCCAAGTCCCTCTAAAGAAATTGCAGGACTTAAATAACACCATCTTATTCACAGAAAGTAATGCCATAACTAGATCCTATTTCAGTGTTGCCTTCTGTTTTAAATTGTGTTGTAATACTCCTTGTAAAAATTTAATTCTGCTGCAGCCTGTGACTTGATAGCAGAATTAGCTGCTGGGTAAACCATTCAGTTAATTACTGAAACTGCGATCTCAAGCAGGAGAGCCAAGACAGAATGCAAGATGAGTGGAAATATTTTAATTAATGAACAAAAACTTAAGAGACTGATCAAGGGAAGGGATGAGTTTTGAAGGACAAATGGGAGCAATACATTTTTAATTGCAGGAATGAGTGAGCTCTGGCAAACCCTGTTACTCTGCTGAGTGCAGTCAGGTGATTCCTTAAGCTATAGATTGTTTGAAGCTATGTATACACACCTTATTCACACCTTAAGTCTTCTGGGTTCCCTCTATTTTACTCTGTGTCCTGAGTACGAGTGAAAACCCTATATATTGATACTTGATGATACACAGGCGTATATAGATACATGTGTATATGGATAAAAAAAGACAGCAACCCTATATATTGATACTTGATGATACACACTTGATGATACACACTTGATGATCATGTATATAGATACATGTGTATACGGATAAAAAAAGACAGATGCATGCATCCATCTATATTAACATTTATAAGAAATATGTCTATTTGATAACCATTAGCTCTCAGTCAGGCAGTAAAAGAAAAACCACATTTTATTCTCTGATGTATAATTTGACAGTACTCAGATTCATTGAAGTGTGTTTCTGATCCCACCTCCCTCTTCCTCCATCTCCCACTTGTATATAAATATGGAAACGAGATTTTAAAGCAATGTGAATTGTCGCTATAGGATTTATGTATGTGTGTGACCTTTGAAGACTTTCTAGAAACGCTTGTTACTGCTTTAAGTGTCTGCACTTTCCTGGCAGATTGAGGCTTGCTTCATGTGTATCAGTTAAAATAAATATAGCATGACAGGAAAATAACTGAAATTCTGGCTGAAATAGTTGTAACAGGCAATTGAAATTAATTTTTTTTTAATTTTATGTAACAATAGTTATTGTGACCACCACTTGGACAAAATTTGACACTTTCCATATTCTTAGAAAGCATTAGATTACTTTAGGCATTGATTTAAGCATTCATGTAAATTCCTTTTTCATCTTAGAAAAATAGTCAATATCGTTCTTATTCCTAAAGTGATTATATATTAACATGTGGCTTGTGTCAAACTGTTTTTGGCTAGAAATTAAGCTGGTTTTAAAAGCACAAAAACACATTCCTGGGTTGTTCTTTATCATTACATAAAACTGCATTTATTCCATTAGTTATAGAATTAAAAAATACACTTGGTTTCTGTTTAAAGCTTAGCCAATTAAGTGAAGAAAGGAAGCATTATTGATGTTTGGGTAATTGAAACAATCAACGGTGCACTCAGGCACTTAAAATGAATGGTTTGTAGAAAGGTGGGATAATAGCAGCCTACCTGGAAGAAACATAATCTGTGGGAAAAGTCATTATTAATGCAGCATTATTTTTATGTTGTACCAGGATTATAAGCAGTAAAAATGCCACGTGCTGTTTCCGTAAGGAAGGTAATGCTTTGATGACAGTGGATATGCAAGAATCTGGAAATGTTGATGAAATTCAGAGCTTTGACAGTTCCTGGTAACCAACGTGTTCTGGAGTTGATTTAGATTTCCGAGAACTATTATTACATCTGAATTTATTTATTTATTTATTTATTTTCCCTCCATTGACAGTAGGCTTTATTCTGGGTGGAACGTAAATATCAGCTTGCTGAAAAACCACTAGCACATATGTAGTCATCTTTTGATAACGAGATCATCCTTATAAAAAGCAGAATGAAGACAGAAATAACTTGTACAACCACTGAGCATTAGTCACATGTAGCTCTTATATAATGCTTACGTCTTCAATCAGCGTGCTGGCAGCTGGGCTCCTTTGTGATATTTATTTGGAGGAGTAGTATGTATCTCATTTGGCAGAGGAAGAAAATGAAGCCAAGAGTCAAGGGATGTGCTGGGGGACACACAGCGCTCTAGCTGGTGAGAGCATTGCAACTAAGAAGTGTCACAGAACCACAGAATGCTATGGGGTTGGAAGGGACCTCTGGAGATCATCTAGTCCAACCCCCTGCTAGAGCAGGGCCACCCAGAGCAGGTCCCACAGGAACGTCTCCAGGTGGGTTTGAAATGTCTCCAGAGAAGGAGACTCCACCACCTCTCTGGGCAGCCTCTGCCAGGGCTCTGCCACCCTCACAGGAAAGAAGTTCCTCCTCATGTTTAGGTGGAACTTCTTATGTTCCAGTTTGTGCCCATTTCCTCTTGTCCTGTCCCTGGGCACCACTGAAAAAAGACTGGCCCCATCCTCCTGACACCCACCCTTGAAGTATTTAAGGTGTTGATCAGATCCCCCCTCAGCCTTCTCTTCTCCAGACTAAAAAGGCTCAAGTCCCTCAGCCTTTCCTCTTAAGAGAGATGTTCTAGTCCCCTCATCATCTCTGTAGCCCTCTGCTGTCCCCTCTCCAGCAGTTCCCTGTCCTTCTTGAACTGGGGAGCCCAGAACTGGTCCCAGTGCTCCAGATGGGGCCTCCCCAGGGCAGAGCAGAGGGGCAGGATGACCTCCCTCCACCTGCTGCTCACACTCTTCCTGATGCCCCCAGGATGCCATTGGCCTTCTTGGCCACAAGGGCTCATTGCTGGCTCATGGGCATCCTGGTGCCCACCAGGATGTCCAGGTCTTTTTCCTCAGAGCTGCTCTGAGTGTCCATCATTCTGCATTGAACAAAGCCGGTGGCAGGATGGAGGTCTGTAGCAACATCTCTTATGTGCTTTCCCCGCTCAATCCCTGGCCTTTTGGATACTTTATTTTTAAGGCAGAGCGAGTGAATGTTGCAGCATTTGTTGTAGTGTTCCGTTTTGTTTGTTGAGGCCGTGTATCCTCTTCGCTCTATTGTGCCTTGATTAAAAGGACTAATAAAAGTACATAGTTTGAAATACTGAAAACAGCTTTTCAGCAGTTGACAACCAAAATGTAGGAGGTTTAGGTTTGCCAGAACTCTTGAACATGTTATGTGTTAAGCCTGGCACCAAGAGGAACGCTCATATGTGCAGATTGTCCTTTGTGTGGATTTCCCCACTGCACTGTGACTATGTTATCACAGTAATGTAGGAAAATAGGTGGGATTCTCTGGTGGATAAGCCATTTGTGTACTGGGATTTCCTTGCAGTGGTTTGGTAATCGTTCTGGCTGCTTTCTATTGGCTTGGTCCTGTTAATTTATACGTAAATGAATGTTTGTTCGCAACCCAACTGAACTATTAAATGGAGTTGCAAGCACTCCGTGATCTCATTTTGAAAGTTTATTTCTTGAAGCTGAATTTCATTGCAATGAAAACTTAATCACAATAAGCACAAGAAATTAGAGTACTTGAAGGGGACATTTTTATTCTTGCCTTATTGTTGTGTTTGCAGGCAGCGAATTATGTTACAGCTTGGTTTGTCCATAACCACGTGTTATGTTTTCAGTTCTTCCTTTTCAAAATCACACATAACGAATGGTGCTGTTCTCTTTGGTTGGTGTTCTCAGATGAAATATTGGAGGGAAAATTGTTCATGCCCCGAGAAGATATTCAGGACTTTGTGTCATTTTACATAATTTTTAGAATAAAAAAAAGTCAAGCTAAACTATTGGAAAACCAGGACTCCAATTGTCAAACAAAACTAAGATGGCCTTTCTTTAAGGGAAAAATTTAGATTACATTGCTATTAAATGTATTATAAAATTGCTGTAAAATTACAGCAAAATTAATGCCTTTTGAAAAGAATCTCATTTACTTAATTTGTTAGAGAAGTACAGAAACTAAATGAATGGCCCAGGGAAAGTGAAGAGAAGATAATTATTTGTAAGAATATAAGGCTGCACACACATAGTCATCTGGTAGCAATTTTAAAACAGAAGTAATTAGTTTCTTTTACTTCATGCAATGTAATTGTGGAACTCGTTGGCACAGAGTTTACAGAGGCCAAAATTGTAATTGGGTTCAGAAAGGAATTGAGTGTGTTCATGGTAGGTAGACTCGTAAGACAGCGCCAAACAATCTGGATGCAATCCTGGCACAAGAAATCCCATTTTTTGAAGTTTTCTGGAAGATGGGAGGATTTAGGAGAAGGATCTATTTGTTTCCAATCTTACTATATTTTTTAATAGCATTTCTCTGTTACAAAGCACGTTCACATTTTCTCACAACCTTGAAAATGTTTCTAGATGTACGTATGTGGAGTTACTCCTTAGTGGCAGTTAAAGTTCTTTTTGTAAGCATTGAATACATTTACCCTTACTCTCTGAGGTCACATACACTGATATGTAGCAAACTATTACTCAGAACCATCTGATGAAGGAAAATGAATAATACACCTGTTCTTTCTTTGCTTTAGGACACCGAGGCTTGTTTGACCATTCGTCACACAATGCAAGCTCAAAAGTAAAAGAGAGGAAACTACATGGGACTTGTCCTCCTGTTGGTCGTGGAACCTACGGAAAACCATGTTTGAGTGAAAGCAGTCAGAGGTCCCCATTTTTTAATCCCCGGAATGGTTTTCACACCATACATTCAGAGCACAGTCCTGTGAAGCCAAGGATTATTACAGTGGTGAAACCCGGTGGACGCACACTCAGAAGGATAACCTTGCTTCTCAACAGGAGATCGGTCCAGACCTTTGAACAGCTGATGGCTGACATTTCAGAAGCTCTGGGATTTCCACGCTGGAAGAATGACCGTGTGAGAAAACTTTACAATCTGAGAGGCAAAGAAATCCAAAGCGTTTCTGACTTCTTCAGGGAAGGCGATGCATTCATAGCTATGGGGAGGGAGCCCCTCACTTTGAAGAACCTGGAAGTGGTATTACAAGAGCTTTATCCTGAAAATCCTTATGCTGCCGGTGCTGCCGTTCAGCAGAATGAGGAACAGTCCCAAAAACTGAAGAGCAGACTGTATGACAAGGCTTCAAAAGTGGACAGTGGCTTTGATGAGACAGAAATGACCAAGAACTGCTGTGATGGCATGTCTCCCAAAATGGTAGCTGGACGTGAAGGAAAAAGTCAAGCCAAGACGAAGCAAGAAGAAAAAATGAAAACCAAGAAAAAGTGGACTAGAGAGAGCTGGGGTGGTGAGCAAGGAGTGAAGCCTTCTAGAAAAACCCGAGAAAACGAGAGGTACCTTAACCACGAGAGGAGTCTTGAGGAGGGATTAGAAGAGAGTTCAGAGGAGGTGGTGAGATGTGAGAAGTGTGAACAGGAAAGGCAGGCCAGACAAAAGCTGCAAAGGGAAAGGCAGGCTGAGGCCTCATTTGAGAGCAGAGACGCATGTCAGAGGTACCATGTAGAAAGAAATGCGAAAATCAGGAATTGCCAAAAATCCTCAGACACTTGTCTGGAAGGTGAGGAAGTTGGTTGGAAAGAGAATGGCTGTAGGAGGACATGGAAGTCCCTACATAAGAATGTTAATGAAGTGCTGGAGAAGCAAAAAAGGAGCATGGAGAAGGAAAGGGATGCGGAGAAACATGAAAACCACAGGAAGGAAGTAGTGAAAATCAAGAAGAACGCTGTGGAAGGGCTGCAGCTAACTCACGAAGGCAAGGAAGAGAATGGAAGTAGCTGCATAATGAACCAAAGCGGTTGGCTAAAGAAAGACGCTCTGAGGGATGCTGAGAAAGCCTCTAAAACACATAGGGAGGGCAGAGAGGGACAAAGGGCTAAAGAGGAGGGTGCCAGGAGAGAGGGGAACATCACGTGTAGAGAGAGTGACGTGACGCGCCGAGAGAAAACAGGGGAGCGCAGGGTGAATAAAGAAGAGAACAAGGCTCAGGGACTGGAAAGCACGAGCCGGAGGCACGTCATTAAAAGCAGATCCGACGTGGAAAAACACTACGAGATTGGCAGAACTATTGGAGATGGGAACTTTGCAGTGGTGAAGGAATGTCGCCGCTGTGACTCCAATCAGATCTATGCCATGAAAATCGTTGATAAATCCAAGCTGAAGGGGAAAGAGGACATGATGGAAAGCGAAATTCTGATCATTAGGAGTCTCTCCCATCCCAATATAGTAAGCTTAATTGAAGTGTATGAGACAGAAGCTGAGATCTACCTAATCTTAGAGTATGTCCCAGGAGGGGACTTATTTGATGCAATCATAGAAAGCGTGAAGTTCACGGAGCATGATGCTGCTGTCATGATCACTGACCTGTGTGAAGCTCTGGTTTATATTCATGGCAAGAACATTGTCCACAGGGACCTCAAACCAGAGAATCTTTTAGTAAGTATTGAAAAACACCTCACAGGTGTGCAGGAGCTGAATTTATTTTCCTTTTAGTTGTGGTTCTTTGAATATTTTTAAGCGAATACTGTGCAGAGATAATGTGCTGTGGCAGGACTGTTTGGAAAATGGGTACAATTTTGCAATGAAATTACCGTTACAGTTCACTTTGTGTAGATCCACTGTACATTGCAGAAAGCAGTACTTGCAGATAGAAATTCAAATGAAAATGACCTGGCTTTTGGGGTAGTGAGCATTTGTATTTTTCTGGAAAACAGAATTAGATACTCACACAAAGCAAGTTTGCTGTAGACAAACACATTTCCTCAGTAAAACAGACCGAGGATCAGTAACAGCCTGTTACTCAGCATCTGACTTTCGGGTATGCAAGGATGAATTTTTTTTGGATGACACGTGCACTGATTCATACGGCATCTTCCTTGCAGACCAAAATTTATTAAAATTGCTAATTTAGCTTGTTTATTTGGTGGACTATTTGTCCACTGCAGTCACACACACCACACACGGCTGTGCTAGTCCTCTACTGTAGTGATTTCTATCTTGTGACAATTTGTTTTCTTAGGAGCAGAAGTATGATGCAGTTGATTGAAATAACCTGACAGTAAAATGTGAGTGTTTTGATGAAATACAGTGGTAAAGTCAGCTCAAATATTAACTTCATGCCATAGAGAAAAGTTCTTTTTTTCCATCACATTTCTGAGGCTACATTCTTCGCATCTGGCACTGAGGTCAATACAGTTACTCACATGTGTGAATATGGAGAGAAATGTTTGCAGTAGTGCCTCTTGACAAGACACCCATTGTAGAACAGTAACAGTAAGCAACTCTCCCTTGCTAATTATGAGTTAGACTTTTGTACTAGGCTTCCAAATTTCCTAAGAGATAAATACAAAATATTTGCCAGTCTCTAACAAATCAGATTTAATCTGCTAGCCGAAGATCATAGCCAGAAAAAAAGTAATAGATTATTTAGTTTTATGTGGTATACAGTTCTTTAAGGGAATAAATTTTGGGAAGAAATCAGAGTGGCTTTCTGGAGAAAAGCAGTAGTGTAGCCTGTAGGACATGCAGAGATTGAACAAGTTTGGACCTGAACAGTTTGTTCCCAAACCTTTTGACTAAGCAATAGCATCTATACTAGGTCTTGCTATGCATCCTGCTTAGTCTGATGAAAATCCTTAGTACGTGGTCTGTGTGTAAATAAAAGATGGTGAGTGCAAGTGGCTCGTTTGCAGGAAGAAGTAGGCTTTTAGGCCCTGCCTTCATGCCTTGTTTTCCCTCGAGAACAAAAGTTCACTTAGAACCACAGGGCTTTTTCCAGAAGCTGTTTTTCCATTATGAACCAGGCTCTGCTCCTTCCTATTTGCTGAAAATAAGCTAGTGCATGTGAAACACCTGAGACCAGATGCTTCATTTTCCTTTATAATATGTAATCATCGTGGTGATGCAGGTAAGTGAAGAGAGGTTAGATATGGGTCCATTCTGGTTGTTTTCACATTGAATTGGCAGCACTGCAGAACACAGATTGCTGGGCAGCAGCGAAGCTGTATGGCACTGAAATAATCATGTTGTCCATTCTGATGGTCAGAAAATATTTTGCAAGGACGGACTGGCCCCCACCTGTAGGTATTTTGTCATATGAAAACAGTGTTACCCAAACACTATGGAAAAGAAAATTGTGCCTGTTTCAGTTTCACCTTGGTGCTAATTGGCTGTGAATGCCTTTATTAGATATCATTTACATAAGGCATCCTTTTGAAAAGTTGGTCTATTCAACAAACCAAATGAGTTTATAAGCACTTGATAATGTTGGATAGCTCAGGTTCTATCTAATAATCATCCTTTTAAACACTGACTGAGAAAGATTCTGGCTTTTAATGTGCTGCCTCTGCCTCCTCAGAGTGACCGGAGCAGTAACAGTGGAGCAGGAAGGAGAACTGCAACTAATGTTAACCTCAGCTACTGCTGAACAATAATGAACAGTATTGAAGCAAATTTCACAGGTTCATCTCCTGTTAGTCACACAGGGGCTGGGGGCAGCCTTCTGGAGAGAAAGGACAGTGCTGGAATTGCTGTGTCCTACAGGGTTGTCCTTGGGTGTGGGATGCCTGTTGTTTCACTTCAGGTTCCTACACTGCAGATGTTTAAGTCTGAATTAGTCTCCTTAGACTTTCTTTGCTCACAGAGGGCAGAAATGGTTATATACTTTTAGACTGTGGACTTGTTTGTTCTACACTGGAGTCTTAGAATCATAGAATTGTCCAGGTTGGAAGGGACCTTTCAGATCATCCAGTCCAACCATCAACCTCACTCTGATCAAAACCATCACTAAACCATGTCTCTAAGCACTAGGTCAACCCGGCTTTTCAATATCTCCAGGGATGGGGCCTCAACCACTGCCCTGGGCAGCCCAGTCCAAGGCTGTTATTAACCCTTTCCATGGAAACATTTCTCCTAATCTCCAATCTGAACCTCCCCTGGCACGACTTGAGGCCATTTTCTCTTGTCCCATGGCCTGGGACTTGGGAGAAGAGACCGACCCCCCCTGGCTACACCCTCCTTTCAGGGAGGTTGATGGTTGGACTAGATGATGAGAAAGGTCCCTTCCAATCTGGACAATGCTATGATTCTGTGAAGGACATAAGAAGTTGTATGGCCTAAATTAGCTGTCCGTAGAAAGTGCAATGAATACTGGTCTTCCTTATCTTAATTAACTCTACAGGCAGGTACGACAAGGCAACACTTTTAAATGGAATTTTGGAACCATTCTTTGTAGTCTTGAATGCAGAAACAGTAATAGCTGTCTTTTAGGTGTCACAGTAAGGCTAATATGTTCATTTAATGTTACTGTTTTTGCTTTCTTCTCACCATTTCAGAAAGTCTATACTGTCGATGTCAGAGGCTAGATTTCTCTGGAGCATGTTGTACATTTATGCGATACTGCTCTGAGTAAGTAGTCTGGCCTCAGGAAGGAATAAAAGTGACCTGAGAAGCTTTTGTTTCTACAGTGAAGCATCTTCACATGCTCAAGGTGATGCCGAGGTAGATTGAAGTGGACAAAGCTGGGGCTGAGGGCAACGCTCGCTCTGCCCAAAGCAACCCAGTTGTTGTGAGCACAGCGTTAGTGAAGATGCTGAGGAGTTCTGGAGGGAGGTTTTCAGGTGTGCTGACAGGTTACACGCTGTCTTTGACATGGTTGTCACAAAGCTGTGAAGATAATACCCAGGGTGTGTGCTGGTGTCAAGTGAAAGGAAAGCTCGGTGGTTTTTCCCTGGAAGGACAGATGGTGCAGTGTTGCCACCTTGTGCTGCGAAGAGAGATGAGGAGTCTGGCATCCCAAGAAAAAAGAAAAAGTGCCACAGTGTATTTTACAAAGCAAGACATTTCCTGCTCATTTTTGGGATGGGGATTAAGACCAGTGTGTTCTCCATCCTCTCCACCCCCCTGCTGGTTTCTAAAAGTTTATCTAAACTTTTCAATATTATTTGTACAGTAGCGTGCAGGGATATTAGTTGAAATTTTCTTATGTCATTTTAAAAGTCGTATTTATACAATAGGAAAATATATTTGTGCTCATATTTTCATAGTACATACAAAATTGAGCATTTCAACTGTGAGTTTTTTGGAATTCCACCGCTATTGCCCCTTTTCAGTTGTGAGTTTTTTGGAATTCCACTGCTAGTACCCCTATTGTTAAAATATAAATCTTGTGGATAGATGCTGCTCTAGAAAGTAACACTTACCTTTGTGATTTATTTTTCGTTTTTGTCAGCTATTGTGTCCGCAGTGTATCATGGCAAAAAATCAGCATGAAGTTGACTAATGAAACAGAGAAAACGGCTATGACATTTTTGCTTTCTCCTATACAGGTTTTAACTGCAGGGTTGTAGTAAACTTTATTTTCAGTTTCATGCTGAAAAATATTTTCTCTTAGAAAAACATAAAAAATCCCAAATATTTTGCTCAATCAAAACTGCAAGTGTTTGTATTTTCTATATAGAAGAGGAAAAAAAGGGATTAATAGGCTATAATGTATTGTTTTTGTAATATAATATTTTTTCTTAAAAAAAAAATAAAATAAACCAAACCTTCTTGCTTAATCAAAATTGGATGAGTGCTTACAGTTTCTACAGAGATGATGGGCAGAGATTAGTGACCTGTAACATAGAAGAGCACATTTTGTCCCATCTGTGCCCTTAATTATCTTGTATAATAGAGACTATCTGAACTATTTACTTTCTTAAGCACTGTCTGATCCAAAGTGTGAGGTGTTGAAGCATGGAGTGTACCTGTCGCATCAGATTCCAGTTTCTCCATTCAGAACCTGACTCCAGGTTTCTTTGGCTTTCTTGTAGACATTTTAGCTGCTGATCTGTGCCCTATACTAAAAGGGAAATACAGTATCCTACAAAGGATATCCTGTCCCTATAAAGACAATTTTTCATTTAAAACAAATTCATGACATTTTTTGCCTCTTTAAAAATATTTGAGTATCAGTCACCAGTATTAAGAATACTGATGTGTTTAATTGTACTGCTACATTCTTCAGGACTTGGCCTTTGAATATTTTCTTAGCAGTGTTTCATTATTGCATTACAAAATAGCGCTAAAGACCCACGCATACAAAATTAGGATGGGAAGAAGTGTTTTATTTACTTTCCAGGTGGATTTAGGAGATGGGAACTGCTTAAAAGACCCATTTAGGAGAACAGTTCTTCATGGATCCACGTCTCCATCTATTCACATTACAATGTGATGACTGTGACTCATTTATTTTCAGGGCCGCAGGTAGAGTAGCAGAGTAATTTGCAAAGAAAGTGAAGCTTTTGTTTGTTTGTTTGTTTGTGAGTTTGGTTTTGTTTTGGTTAGACTGCTGTGATGGAGATAGGCTTTTCAAGTGGCACTGTAAAGTCAGTAGCTTACCTGGGAATATCACATTTAAGCATAAAGACACCCACAGCATTCTTCTTTGCTTACCCAGGGGAAGAGTTTACTTCCCCAAGAGGAAACAATAACATTTAATAGACACTCAGTTCTTTTTTTGTCTTCCTCCTTTTCATTTCTTGGAAATTACAGTTTATACAGCAAAGTTTTCTTTTCCTGTTACTGCTTGTCCTCTTAAATATATGCAGCATCTCAGTATATGGGGTGGGGGAAACCAACTTTCTGTTTATCCGAATACTGTTTACATTTCGTGTTGCTTTACTTGAAGGCACTATTATTAGAACTCCCTGTTTATCATGAATTAATTCCTCTATCTTTTGCTGTCTTAAAATGGATGTGGACTAAATATATGTATTTTTCATTGAGTCTAGGTTCAACATAATTCAGATAAATCTACTACACTGAAACTAGCAGATTTTGGCCTCGCAAAGCAGGTTACGAAACCCATATTTACCGTGTGTGGAACACCAACGTATGTTGCCCCCGAAATACTTGCGGAGAAGGGTGAGTGTATATATTTATAATTTGCCATAAATCATACAATTACTTTGAACTTCCTAATCATGGAAATACTCCAGACTGTTTCAACCTACTGATACAGGGTAGGAGGCTGGCTAGCAGTGTAGTCTGTGAAAGGAAATGAAACCTTTAAGCTTTTGATAAACATATGCATGACATCAGTCATGTTTGCATAATTAATGTCTATGGTAATGTAACACTGATTTCCAAACAGAAAAGCCACAATATATCAAAATATATACCCCATCCTGGGCTGCATCAAAAGCAGCATGGCCAGCAGGTCCAGGGAGGCGATTCTGCCCCTCTGCTCTGCTCTGGGGAGACCCCACCTGGAGCACTGCATCCAGCTCTGGAGCCCTCAGCACAGGAAGGACATGGACCTGTTGGAACCGGTCCAGCAGAGGACTGAAGCACCTCTGCTATGAGGAAAGGCTGAGGGAGTTGGGGTTGCTCAGCCTGGAGAAGAGAAGGCTACAGGGAGACCTTCCAGCCGCCTTCCAGTCCCTGACGGGGCTACAGGAGAGATGGGGAGGGACTCTTCATCAGGGAGTGGAGCCATAGGACGAAGGATAATGGTTTTAAATTGAAAGAGGGGAGATTTAGGTTAGATACTAGAAAGGAATTCTTTGCTATGAGGGTGGTAGAACAGGTTGCCCAGAGAAGCTGTGGCTGCCCCATCATCCCTGGAGGGGTTCAAGGCCAGGCTGGATGGGGCTTGGAGCAACCTGGTCTGGTGGGAGGTGTCCCTGCCCAGGGCAGGGGGGTTGGAACTGCATGATCTTTAAGGTCCCTTCCAACTCTAACCACCCTATGATTCTATGGTTAAACTTATGTAACAAGCTAAAACATCTTTTGCGTCAGAAGAAATTTTGGAGATTTCATATCCAAAAAGATTCAGTGCTGGAAAGGATTCAGTTTTGTTTATGACTCAAGCAAAGCTATTTCTGGGCTTTGTTCTGTGGAGCTGGGTTGCACATCTCCACTTATATCCAATTTCAGTCGAAACTTGGCACTCTCTTAGTGCTTTTTTGAAGGGAATGTGAGGAGGACTGTTTTAGAAATGTCTGCTGTGTTTTCTCAATTAGTCTCCGATTGACATTGGCCTTGTGAGACAGTGTTTGTGAAACATGTTGGAGAAGAGAAGCACTTTGTGAGAGCTGTAGTTATTAACAGACAGAGCAGCTCAGCTTGTAAGAGTGGTGTACCAGCCACTTATTCTTTTGCTGACTTCATCTTTTTTAGAAACTGAGCAGAGCTGCTGTGTTTCTTGGAAAACAGAATGAAAAAGAAACGGTTCCCTTAAAGTTATGAGTTTTCTTTTTGAAACGGGACTTTTGGTTTGTTTTTTTCTTCCTTAGGCTATGGGCTCGAAGTAGATATGTGGGCAGCTGGTGTGATCCTTTACATTCTGCTCTGCGGTTTTCCCCCTTTTCGCAGTCAGGATCGTGATCAAGAAGAGCTGTTTCAGATCATACAGCTGGGTCACTATGAGTTCCTGTCCCCATACTGGGACAATATTTCTGCAGGTAAGATTCAGCATGTGTAGCGGATCTGAGAAGTGAAGAACTCCCTTTTGCTCAGGACAGTGAGCTCAATAAACTGGGGGTGTCTTGTAGGTCTCTCTTTAGTTTGATAGTATCGATGGCTGTGTATCTGAATGTTAGGTCTGATTGATTTCTTGCCTTCTGAGGCAAGGGCAAGGATTTTTCCTTGCTTTGCTTGCATGAATTATCTCTGTAGAAAATGTAACAAAATAAATCTCCAGGGTTATGTTGGATTGTAAAGGTGTGTGCAAAAATCTCAAAAGCTGAAAATGGAATCCTTGCTCTGCAGAACACAGTGTGGATTTTCTGTTGGGGTCTGCACATAGTGATTTTACTTTTCTTGCAGGCTAGTGCCTTGTGCACTCTTCAATATCTGAAACTCTAAAATCCTTCACTCTATATACAGTCTTTTAAAGAACTTTCTCAGCAGCATTCTATGACTTGAGGGATGAGATCCCCAATGCTAATTCCTGTGAATCAGAACACCTGATGCCTTTGGCACGCTTTCAAGATTTAATTTCCTTCACTTTCTCCTCTATTTCTGAAGGGGAGAATGATGTCAGTAAAAGATATGCTGGAGGTTTAACATCTCCTGGCACCACTTCTAAATCCAGTTGTTGTAATATCTTCTAGTGATAGCCACAAAAGTCATTGTGGTAAAACTAATATGAAAAACCAAGAAGGACGTTTTGGGTAGGTATAACTGTCAGCATCATCACGTCACTGTTCTTTTCCCCTCTTCCCTTTTCTTTCTTTCATAATAGCAGCAAAAGACCTCATAACCAGGCTGTTGATAGTGGATCCCCAGAAGCGCTACACAGCACGACAAGTACTTCAGCACCCTTGGATCAGAACAGCTGGAAAAACCAACAGCAGAAATTTGCAGAGGGAAGTGACAATAAATATTGAGCGTCATTTCCGGGCCCAGCGCCGAAAGGAAGTTGCAGATGAGGACACATGAAATCTCCTCAAGCTCATTTAGTCTTCTTTTTATTGATTAACAAATGGTTTAAGTTTTATTTTCTAAATGAATTTGGCCTTTGGTGTATAGCTGCTGCTGGCCATTTTTGTTTTTTGATTCTGAGATTCTAGAGAAGGACAGATCAAATTCGCATCCGTGTCCCTCTGATGTTCCTTGAGAGTCTCTCTGTTGACAGCACAGGGGACTAGATGTTTCCTGGAGGGTACCTATTATTTTTGTTTAAATACTGATTTGGGCTATTACATTACAAAATGTATACCTTTTTAGATGACAAATAATTTGCTTATGTGGCTGACATGAGTGACAGCTGTGAAATGCTTTCTCTTGTCTCTTTTTGTATGATACCTTCCAGGAGTTTTCTGTTTATAGTGTTTTCAAAATTGCTGTCTCCATACACATCCTGCACTAATTCTCTAAACTGTCTTTTCACCAATTATAGCTAGTAATGGAGAAGGTGAAGGAATAAAAAAGAGTAAATATATTCTTTAGCTGTAGGATATGCTAAATAAGAAGGAAGATACTATTTATTAGGTTGTGAGGTAAGAAAAATCCTTATAGACTAAATCAGATATTTTATGATATCTCCCTTGACAACATCTTTTATTGGATGCTCTTGGCAGTAGACTGTACAATGTTTCTGTTAAACTATGGCAGTGCTGTATAATAGTAGTTTCATTTATTTATGAGAAGAAGTGGGAAGATATCATGGCTGATATGTTTTCAAGACTACTAATAACTTTCAAAGTGCTTTTACTTCCTACTCTGGGAGGTAGGAAGCTAAGCAATTCTAGGGAACTTTGGTTCTTTTCCCAAAAGTGTAGTTATGGAATGATAACTCAAGTGTTTTTTTCATACTGCTTTTTTTTTTTTTTTTTTTTTTTTATGAAAATTAACTACCAAGTGCCATCATTTTAAGACTATAAAACAGTGTAACCTATGAAACATATAC